TCTGGTGCAAATTACTGACCTCTGTCATCATTTTAAGTGGGGGAACTTGCACAATCGGTGGCTGACTAAATACTTTTTTGCCCCACTGTATGAATTTATGCACGCCTCAGCTTCCAAGCAGATACACCTATGGTATCAGTTTCAAAATCTTATGTGATTTCCGTCTCGAGTTATCGCTTTACAACATTGTGTGAATGTGTGCGTGAATGGGTGGATAACTGGATATGTAAAGCGCTTTGGGGTCCTTAGGGACTAGTAAAGCACTATATAAATACAGGCCATTTACCATTTTACCATTTACCATTTCAGAAAGCTTGACCTCTGACCTCTAACCTTCAAGTTGAGGTCACTGAGATTCAAAATCGCCTGAGAGTTTTAGTAGACACGCCTATGGTATCAATTTGAAAGTCCTATATCAGCCTTGACATGTGCAATTTGCCAACCCCAACATAAAAAAGTAAAAAATGTATTTCCAGTTTTTGTGTTGAGATTAGTTGACTAACGCAGCGGTTGAAGAATATCCCATTTCTTTGCCATGAGAAACTCTTAGGTGTATTTTGCAGCTGGCTTTGGGTCATTGTCCATCAGTAGTTTGAAGTACTGTCCGATCAGTTTTGCATCATTTGACTGAATCTAAGCATTAAATATAGCCCTGTGCACTTCAGAAGTCAGACTGACATAGCAGCCACATCAATAAATCCATCTGTAAAATTAGATAAACACACTGGCACATGCTGGCACATCATGGGCTGTTGCTTTTCCATTATCATATTTTTCTCTTCCCATGATTCTGGTATAAATTTATCTTGTCTATTTCATATCTGCCCAAAAAAAAATTTTCCCCCTTAACTATGCAGGCTCTGTTTTTTAGAAAAGTGTAATCTGGCCCTTCTGCTGAGTGTAACCGGTGTTTGCACTTTGTTGTAAATCAGAATCAGAATCAGAATACTTTATTAATCCCGAAGGAAATTATAGGTTACATCAGGCAGCACGCTAATGGTGCATGCGCACTTACAAAGGAACCTTCTGACCAAACTTTACACAAACATCACATTGGGAAGACATGTCAGAGAGGTAGGCTGATAGGAAAAAACAACGGAAATACAATATACTCAGGCTATAAAGACTTTGCACATCATTTCCTATCTACATTTTGCACTCCCCTCACTCATAATCTTACATATTTGTTAATTTATCATTTGTATTCTATAACTGTAGGTACTAGGTATTATATATTTCTTTTATGTGTATTTATTGTTAATATTTATACAGTGATGTATATATTACATATACTGTAAATACTTTTCACCATAACACCACAGCAAGATCCACGCACAAACTTGGCAATAAAAGTCATTTTGACTCTGATTCAGTCTGAGAGCCAAGTGTTTGGTTGGGGTGATGCGGTACTATTAGGTCTTCAAGATAAGATGGGGCCTTATTATTTAAGACCTTGTAATGTGATGACAAGGATTTTGATTCTGGATTTAACAGGGAGCCAATGAAGAGAAGCCAGTACTGGAGAAATCTGCTCTCTCTTTCTAGTCCCTCTCAGTACTCTTGTTGCAGCATTACACACGCAAGATCATCATTCAGCTCAAAGCACTAACTTTACCTGTTCGCTTTCCCGAAACCACACAATCTCTTTCAGGCTGCCATCTGTTTGGAAGTTGCACTTGAGTGTGACTGTATCTCCAATGACGACAGGAGGAAGAGATTCACTAGTAACGGTTAAATAACCTGCCAAGAAGAAAACAGAGGAAGATAAGACTCCTGCAGTGAATAGAAAGGTTCTGCACAGTCAATAGTCCTGTAGTTTCTTATACTATTCACTGCTGCTCTGTTGTACAGGGAGTGCAGAATTATTAGGCAAATGAGTATTTTGTCCACATCATCCTCTTCATGCATGTTGTCGTGCTCCAAGCTGTATAGGCTCGAAAGCCTACTACCAATTAAGCATATTAGGTGATGTGCATCTCTGTAATGAGAAGGGGTGTGGTCTAATGACATCAACACCCTATATCAGGTGTGCATAATTATTAGGCAACGTCCTTTCCTTTGGCAAAATGGGTCAAAAGAAGGACTTGACAGGCTCAGAAAAGTCAAAAATAGTGAGATATCTTGCAGAGGGATGCAGCAGTCTCAAAATTGCAAAGCTTCTGAAGCGTGATCATCGAACAATCAACCGTTTCATTCAAAATAGTCAACAGGGTCGCAAGAAGCGTGTGGAAGAACCAAGGTGCAAAATAACTGCCCATGAACTGAGAAAAGTCAAGCGTGCAGCTGCCAAGATGCCACTTGCCACCAGTTTGGCCATATTTCAGAGCTGCAACATCACTGGAGTGCCCAAAAGCACAAGGTGTGCAATACTCAGAGACATGGCCAAGGTAAGAAAGGCTGAAAGACGACCACCACTGAACAAGACACACAAGCTGAAACGTCAAGACTGGGCCAAGAAATATCTCAAGACTGGTTTTTCTAAGGTTTTATGGACTGATGAAATGAGAGTGAGTCTTGATGGGCCAGATGGATGGGCCCGTGGCTGGATTGGTAAAGGGCAGAGAGCTCCAGTCCGACTCAGACGCCAGCAAGGTGGAGGTGGAGTACTGGTTTGGGCTGGTATCATCAAAGATGAGCTTGTGGGGCCTTTTCGGGTTGAGGATGGAGTCAAGCTCAACTCCCAGTCCTACTGCCAGTTTCTGGAAGACACCTTCTTCAAGCAGTGGTACAGGAAGACGTCTGCATCCTTCAAGTAAAACATGATTTTCATGCAGGACAATGCTCCATCACACGCGTCCAAGTACTCCACAGCGTGGCTGGCAAGAAAGGGTATAAAAGAAGAAAAACTAATGACATGGCCACCTTGTTCATCTGATCTGAACCCCATTGAGAACCTGTGGTCCATCATCAAATGTGAGATTTACAAGGAGGGAAAACAGTACACCTCTCTGAACAGTGTGTGGGAGGCTGTGGTTGCTGCTACACGCAATGTTGATGGTGAACAGATCAAAACACAGACAGAATCCATGGATGGCAGGCTTTTGAGTGTCCTTGCAAAGAAAGGTGGCTATATTGGTCGCTGATTGGTTTTTGTTTTGTTTTTGAATGTCAGAAATGTATATTTGTGAATGTGCAGATGTTATATTGGTTTCACTGGTAAAAATAAATAATTGAAATGGGTACATATTCGTTTTTTGTTAAGTTGCCTAATAATTATGCACAGTAATAGTCACCTGCACACACAGATATCCCCCTAAAATAGCTAAAACTAAAAACAAACTAAAAACTACTTCCAAAAACATTTAGCTTTGATATTAATTCGTTTTTTGGGTTCATTGAGAACATGGTTGTTGTTCAATAATAAAATTATTCCTCAAAAATACTTGCCTAATAATTCTGCACTCCCTGTATATACATCAAGGCTGAGGCATGTTGTTGCTGAGGACTTTATTTATTTGAAAGCTGTACTCCCCAAAGTGCTCTACCAGGGGCAACAGGACACTGGACCATGTGCACAGTAACATCAAGCGACACCCCTCCCCCACCTCTGACAATATGACCACTCGTCTCTGCTCTTCATCTGTTTTTAAACCATCCTCAGGAAACAAACCCCTCCAAGCACCCAGGTCACTAAAACATGGCCAGATGGTGCTCTCATCCAACTACAGGTGTTGATCTGACAGACTGATTCATCTTTGAACAGCAGGACCTGGAGAGCTTCACCTAGTCTGTCCTTTTCTACATTAAGTGCTGTGTTGAGAATATAACAGTTTTTCCTAACTGGAAACCTTGGATCACGAGAGAAGTACAGGCTCTGATCAGAACTGGTAACTCTGCCTTCCAGCTGAGGGAAAGTTTTCTGTACAGCACTGCCAGAGCCAACTCTAGGAGGGGTGTCAAACAAGCTAAGGAGGCTCACAGGTGGAGGATGAGGCCTTCAGTTTCACACTTAGCAGAGCAGCTCAACAACTTCTTTGCTCAGCGTCACCTCACCTCCCCCTCCTTCTCACCCAGCACTCTCCCTTTAGGAGCATGAGGTAAGGAAGCAACTGAGAGTGGTGAACTCTAAGAGAGCTTTGTGGCCATGATGGCATGGGGCTGTGGTCAAAGCCTGTGTGGACCAACTGGGAGGGGATCTTCATCAGGTTGTTTAACCTCTGCCTGACTCATGCCACCATTACCACCTGTCTGAAGGCCTACATAATGATTCCCATTCCCTAAAAGCCTGTAATAGACTTCCTCAATGACTACAGACCTATACCCCCTAAATCTTCAGTCATGAAGTGTTTCGAGTGTCTCAGCATATCAGAGACTGCCTACTGCCCTCTCTGGACCCCTACCACTTTGCTTACAGAGCAAATCAGTCCACAGAGGATACCATCTGATCCTGTATCACTGATCTCCTCACCAACCAGCCCAAATCAGTCAGACTTATGTCACATTCTAAAGATCTGACATGTGGGGTACCGCAGGGTTCAGTTCTGGGTCCTATTCTTTTTCTTTTGTACATGTTACTTCTAGGACTTCTAATTAGGCAGTTCCCTGAGGTGTCTTATCACTTCTATGCTGATGATATTCAGCTCTATTGCTCTTTTAAGCCAATGGAAGTCCATAAACTGTCCTGTTTAATTAAATGTTTAGCTTCCATTGAATAGCGGCTTGGTCACAACTACTTACAGCTGAACTCTGAGAAGTCAGAAACATTAATTATTGCCCCCGACAACCAGATATCAAACAGCATCTTGGTTCTCTCGCTCATCTGTTCACCCTAGCCTCAGGTACCTTGGTGTGATCTTTGATTCTGCCATGTCCCTAGAACAACAGTCTTGTCAGTTAATTAGGAATTGCCTTTTTCAGCTAAGAAACATCTCCAAACTGTGAATTTTGCTGTCTAAATCTGAGTTAGAAATGGTTATTCATGCTTTTATTTCATCTCGCTTAGATTATTGTAACAGTCTTTTTCTTTGTCTGAGCAAAATGAATCTTGACCATCTCCAGTTAGTCCAGAATGCTGCTGCAAAGCTTTTAACTAAGATACGAAAAAGAGAGCACATTACACCAGTGTTACGTTCATTACACTGGCTTCCAGCCTGAGATCATCTAATCAAAGGCTGTTGGTAGTCCCACAAACTTGTTTTAAGACCAGAGGAGATCAATCTTTTAGAGCGGTGGCCCCCAGGTTGTGGAATGCTCTCCCTCCATCATTGCGTTGCCTTGATTTTATTTATTCTTTTAAAAAGCAGCTTAAGACTCATTTATTTAAATTGGCTTTTAATTAGATTTGTGCTGTATGTTTGATCATTGATGTATTTTATGTATTTCTGTTTTATATTATTGTGAAGCACTTTGTGGTTTTTATCCTGTGAAAAGTGCTATATAAATAAATTGATTTGATTTATCTTTTCAATGGTCTGTTGTCATGTGGCAGTGAAGGCTTGATATAGGACCCAAAATGCAGACTAATTGGGAAAATTAAACTTAAACACAGCTTTATTGCTGAATGACTATGTACATAAACCAAGAAACCTAAACTGAGATACCAGCCGGAACACACAGCCAGAGGATGAGGGAGATCACCACACTGGACGGAGGGAGACACAGACAGTAAATACATCAGAGGGGGTCAGAGCAGAGATGAAACACCTGGGGAACACAGGTGAACAAAATCAACTGACGAGACAGGGGAAGAACAACCGAGTATGGAACACACAGGACTCTTGTCTAGTTTAAAACAAAAACAGGAAGTACGTGAAACATACACACCAAGATGCAGACTGATGAAACCCAGGGAACAGAGGGAGGGGCGAGAGAGGGAGGGACGAGAAAGGGCAAGAGAACAAGGAGAGCAAGGGACAGAAAGGCAAGAGAAACCAGACAGACACACAGACAATGACTGGGGAAACGGGGGACAAACAAAGGACCTGCTGTGGTGGACACTCATGAAAGCAACCAACTAAATGAAGACGTTGTCATGGTCCCTGTGCCTGCCCGGCCAGCCCAGTGTGGCCACAAATGTTTTTGTTTTTGTTTGCTCTGCCTTTGCTCTCCCCTCTCTTGCTCGCCTTGCTCTCTCTCTCTCTCCTGTCTCTCTGCCTGGGCGGAGCTCAGATTGAGCTCCCACCCTTGGCCCACGCACCTGCAGCTGATCACCAGTGATTCTGCATTTGGTTACTGACACTTCTTAAGGCAGGGGCGCTGAGCTACTCGTCGCTGGAATATTGAATAACTCTAGTTTAGGCATGGGCGAACTACGGCCCTGGGGCCACGTGCGGCCCGTTAAACGTTTTGATCCGGCCCGCCAAACTTGAAAAAAATTTAATAAATTAACCTTGTTAATGTTTTATTTCCCCTGCAATTCTGATGTTTCCTCACTAGATGGCGCACTCTAGATATATTGGCTTTGTTGAGGTGAAGCGGCGTAGGCCTATTACTCCACGTTTGCACTTTACCCTGTGACCTACCGCCCCTCTATGAAGATGAGCGGACCCAAGAAAAGGAAAGTGGACAGAGAATGTCGAGTGTTCAAAAAGGAGTGGACAACTAAATATTTTTTCACTGAACACCGATCATCTGCTGTTTGCCTGATATGCCAAGAAACTGTGGCGGTTTTTAAAGAGTATAATATTAGCTGTCACTTTGCCACAAAGCACGCAAATTATGCTAGCAAGCTCTCAACAAAAGAACGGGAATCTGCTGCTGAGAAGTTGGCAGCTAATTTGAAGGCTCAGCAAAGTTTTTTT